ACCGTTGGATAACGTCATGCGCCAGGTCATCACTCGAGTGGAACCCGAATGGGAAACAACGAGTTTGGCTTGGCTCCGAGGGTGATATCAAGCAGATCGTGTGAAGAGGAGGATACGAGAGCATATGGACAGTCATAAGGCCAGCTGAAAAGGACTGCAGAGAACAGGAAGAAGTGGAGATGAGCTGTTGGAACCCTATGATGTTCCACTCCAAATCCAAGGGAATAACAATAATAATGATAATAATACACAACATACACTAATCGATAATTGGAGTCAAACAAATAGATGATATTAGATATGACAAAGGAGATTTGTAGCTCAAGTGGATGATTTTGATGTGGTTGTGTTCTCTGAGCTGGATAGTTAATTCGCAAAGCTTTCATTACCCGACTAGGCAACGTCTTCAGCGCATACTTCAATTTCTTGAAGTGAATTTTTAGATTTCTCCATGAGTTTATTAGTCATCTCTCCTGGTGACCTTGAACGTGATTGGTTGTTTTTGTGTGTGTTTCCACACCACCTAGACTACTTGTATTGGAACTGATTCTTTCCTTGATTTGAACAACGAGTCAATTTTGTGTATGAGATTTCCTTCTTATCGGTTGGTAAATTTTGTCTATCTCGATTTGTCTATTGATTAACGATTCACTGGAATACCAAGCTGGCTTCTAAAAGTTCTCTAGCATTCTTGTTATTTCCTCTGTCTAATATTTGAACGTTGGTTGTCCCAATCGAACTGATGTCCGTGGTTGTCTGTATTTAGTGATATTAGAGAGAGTGAATGTCGTGTCTTTTGACGGCTAGCTTATGTTCGTGGATATGAAGACGAAGGGGGCGTCCACTTCGGCCAATGTAGTGTTTTCACAGTTGTTACAATTTATTTTGTAGACAATGTTGGTTTCATCTTCTTTCGCTGTTGAGTCTTTTGGTTGACATAGAACTGAGTGAAGTGATTTTGTTGGTTTGTATGCGACGTCACACAAAAACAACCAGTCACGTCCAAGGTCACCCACCAGGGGAGATGATTAATAAACTCGTGGAGAAATCTTAAAGCTCACTTCAACAAATTGAAGTATGCGCTGACGATGTCGCCCAGTAGGACGATGAAAGCTTCGCGAATTAACTTATCCAGGTCAGTGAACACAACTACATCAAAATAGACGATATTCCACAGCAAATTTTCACTCACAAACGAAACAATGTCCAATTGACAACTTTTTATGAGTTCAATCTAACCAAAGTGGAGTAGGGACCACTTGTTTTCCTCTCATGAGCACTAATAAGTTGAACATAACTAGTCTTGTGAGTTAGCAGTGTATATCGCTGAATCGAACTTCATTTAACTGCATTATGTAGTAGACAAAACAGTCATAAAGGGGAGACAGAATGATATTTTATTTTAGAGTCCAGATTTTACTCATAAAACATCAATACAACCGATTTGAAGTAAATTCATTGATTAACCCGCATATATATATATATATATATATATATATATATAATCGTGAGTATAATAGACACTTGTATTGAGGACAGTAGATAATTACACTCAAAATGACCTTGGTACAAAGTATTACTAAGTTAGCTGTTCGCTGAATTCAATTTTCCTCAGAAAATGAAATATGAGCATTGAGGTTATGCTTAAAAATAGAAAATTAAAAAAAAGTAAATGAGCTTTGGCTATTTAATCCTACTTACAGGCTGTATTTATATATATATATATATATATATATTACTGGTAGCAGCGACGAGTTAAACAATACCCATATTGATTAGTAAGTATATGCTTTCTTATTCAGGTCAAGGTGATTTTTTAATACTCTATGACTGCAATTCATGTTTACATGATGTCATCAGATAAAGAATAGTTGCAATAAATTAGGCATACGCTGACTCATCAGTAATTTTTTTCAAAAAAGAAAAACTTTTTTTATCATACTCAGCTGTTTGGGTCACTATTAGAGAGAGAGAGAGTGAGAGATATCAAAGCCATTATAATAAAGGTTTTTGTATTCCCCATAGTAGTAGTATACCAGAGGAAAGTAGAGAGAAAAAAATCTACAGGAACTGATTTTTGTTTTAAAAATTTTATTCCTTTACGTCCCAAGTAGAACATAAAGGGCTTCACAGCTAGAGCTTTGAAGTCTCAGTTGTGGTGGCTTTGTTTTTTACTGAGTGGGGTCGCTAGCCTCACACACCCGACCTTCTCTCTTTACTGGCCTTACTCTATCACCAGTTTAGAGGGGTTTAGGAGTACATTGACCGGGGATCGAACCCCGGACCACATGAGGCGTGGTTGGCGAAGGTCCTATCGCTGGACCATCAACGTACTAAAGGAACTATATTGAACGGAAGTGTAATGCAGAAAGAAAAAACATACAGAAAATGATGAGGATTTGGTGGATTTACGAGTTTATAAATAGTGAATGTATCTGAGACACTGAGAACGATTCTGAGGCATATCACCGAAAGTCTAAGTGTCCAAAAAGAATCCCAACTAGGTGGTCTACATTTCTTTATGTACCTTAAGCTAACAGCCAAAGACTTTATATGGATTGACCCCATTTTCTTGATACAATCACCAATAACTCTTTTTTTTGAACCTAAGCTGACATTAAACAGCTAAATAACAAGATAACTGAAGAAGCTATAGAAAAACTGGAGGACAATTGATATAAAATGTGCAACACAAGCTGAAGAACACTGTGAATTCACTGTATAAGAGTCCGAGTCTATGACGAAATGATTTTAAATTGGACGTCCCATTGAAATATCTTCAAATTCAAGGCTATTGACGTTACTTCAGATATTCATACTTATCCAATACAAGGTAACTAATAGATACATTCTCATTGAGCTATTCAAGTTGCTAGTCATCAGTTGTAAAACTGAACAGTAATCAACATCATATTATCTATTTTTTTATTTTTTTTATTTTTTTGATTACAGCTTGATTCCACACCGTATTTTCAGTACAAGTATGGAATTTTCAGCTTGGATATCGGTAGCCCAAATTTACAGGCCGACCATAGATATCGGGTGTGCGCCGGCAGGGGATCGAACCCCGGACCATGTGTATGGTCGGCGAGAGTCCTAACCACTGTGCCACCGACGCACAGAAACAATCCATTATATTCCACTCTTCTGCTTTACTGTTCAAAGATGAGAAGTATATTATAAACAAAGAGCTACATATTGAATGATAGCGACTACTGTTTATCACTTGAAAAAGTTAATTCTAGAATCTAATTAATATAACATCAAGTTTCAATAAACATGATATGGTATACACTTCAACAATACGAAAAACTTCCATTTTTCATCAGTTGAAATCGGTTAGAAAGCCATTGGAAAACCACTAGGGAGTACTGAAAAGCCAGCTGTTTCGCCCTACTTCATGGGACTCGTCATCCGTATGCTCTCACCACCACGGTTCGAACCCAGGAGAGGACCTCCCGGTTACAAGGAGAGCTTGTATACCCTTAAGCAGCCGGTGGGACCCGATCAAATGGCCAGTCAATCAAAACAAATTTCTGCCAATTCATGAACGATATAGCGCGACTGGTACTAGCCTCTGTCATCGGTGACGACGAGTATTTGTTCTCACACCCGACCTGACGTATCCCACTGGTCACGACTTCTCTGCTGACGAATCTCAAGTACTAGGACGAGACAGCTGGCTGTTCAGTTTCCTCATAGTTCTCTAACTGATGTCAGATCATGATGAAATCCTATAACCAATCAAATCAAATGTCAGTCTGCCTGTTTTCGACATAGAACTTTGCACATATGTGCGGTAGTTCAAGTCGCCACACTCCCTTCTTGTAGCACACAAAGCAAGAGAAGAAAGTAGAAGAAATGCATAACATAGACAGTAAACAGAGGTGTGAGACAAAGGAATAGTAATAACGAAGAACAAAACAGTTTAATTGGAAATCATAAGTCACAAGGAGTGGATGCATCTGCAACAGCCATTGAGAACGATTTTGAGCCATGTCACCAATTGTTTCCAACCATTGGTTTTTACCGTCCCGAGGACCTCAGCCAGTCAGGAAGTCTACACCTTCCTACGTGGCTTAGATTAACTGTTGTAGATTTCATTGACTGATAAGGCCATGATTTGGTTTGACCGCCACTAGCTATTTTCCAACCTGACCCTATGTCAGCTAACATTGCCCATTGTCGAGGAAAGCGATGACTAGGCATACGTAAAACATGTCCTAACCATCTCAGTCGATGTAATTTCACAGTCTCGTCGGTTGATTTCTCCTCCCACCTACCTAGCACTTGACCCAAGCCTAACCTCAATATTGCTCACCCTATTATACCACTTCACACGGGAGATAGAACGCAGACACCTATGATCAAAGACAGCTAATCTTTTCATGTCTTCCACTCTCAATGGCCAGGTCTCACAGCCATAAGGGATGATGGAGATTAGTGCTACTGAGCAGTACACCCGCCCTTTGGTCGATAGCCAGCGGGATATGACGTCTACGCCAGAGACGGCGTAAACTGGCATATGCGAAACTAGCCCTCTGTATTTGTACTGAGATTTCATCAGAGATCAACCCGTTGGGGCTGATGGTACTTCCCAAATAAAGGAAGCGATCAACGTGCTCTACCACTTCACTTCCTATTTCTAATCTAGGGGTCGTTGTAGTCTAATCCTGCAACATCGTCTTACATTTTACAGGGGCGAATCGCAAATCAAATCCCTATAAGCCAACAAATAAGTTTCAATTCTCTTGACTATTATTATACCAAGAGGCATAAAATTGATTATCACCAACTTATCGTAAAACATACCTATTATTAAAAAAAACGAATTTTTAATGGGCATGCACAGCATATATATATATATATATATATATATATATACGTAAATATCATTTGTTCATTTCATTTACACTAGCATGACTAATATAATTTAATATTTTTCACAGATGAAACAACACATACTATTTCAAACAATATACAAAATCCTGCTGACTCACCATCTGTCACTATCGGTTTTCCGGTTGATATATACTGATTCAACAGTTTTATGAAGATCAGTTACATTTGATGTTGGTGCTGCTGATGATGACGAAGATAACAAAGGAGAGAAGGAGGTACTAAAGACTGGTGATAAGTTATTATACTTAACTGGATTATTACTATTATTATTATTGTTATTATTATTGATCTGTGGAAAACGATTCATCTCAGGAGATAACTGGAAAGGAAATAATAATAACAATAGTAATAATAGTGAATGAATGGCTGTAGAAGTGACTTAAGGAAAACAAACTGAAAGAAAATGAAAACTCACCGATGACACTGACTAGTGCTACTCGCACTCACTACATCTTGAATTATTGGCCGAAGTTGGAATTCAAGGGCTGGCTATTGGATCGGGTCCCAGTGGCTACTGAGTGGTATACGACGAGCTTGCTCGCCTTGTAACTGGCAGATAGTAGTGGGTTGAAACCCTAGCGATGGATGCCTACAGCTGTGCAACACAGTCCTATGAACTAGGACGAAACAGCTGACGACTCTCCAGTACTCTGTGGTGGTTTTCTAACCGATGTCAGCTCATGATGAAATCATGAAAACATCATTCGTGAAATTAACTGGCCCAATGGTACACACACAAGTGTAGACAGAATATGAATGAACCTGTAATCTAATATTTATTTATACTTGTGATTTCCCGTCTGAACCAAATTGATCAGTGTCATTTCCCTATATGCGTCGGTGGCATATCGGTTAGGACGCTTGCCGACCATGCACATGGTCCGGGGTTCGATCCCCGGCCGACGCACTCCTTTACCTCGCTAAGCCAGATATAATGCTGGTGAAGAGGAAAGGTTGGGCATGAGGCTAGGAACCCCATCCTGTAAAATAGACACTGCTAGAGAAACTTCAAGCCAGTAGCTTGAAGCCCTATGTTCCACTGGGGAACGTGAAGGAAAAAAAAATTCCCTATATACACTACTTGGACGGATGCCTCAATATAATTAATAATAATAATTTACTTTATCCCAAAAACAGTGCTTATGATACTGTGTGGAATTTTCAGTATTTTGTACAGTATTCTAACTAATCTACTCAACAACCGCAACAACAGAAAGAAAAAAATACATCACCAGGTAAACTTAACTAAAATTATTGATAACAATTTTTGGCATTAGCAGAAACAGTAGGGTCAAAGTGCACAAATGTAAAATGATAATAATAATAATAACAATAAATAATATTAGTATTAATAACCCAAAATGGGGATAGCGAGTGTCAGTATATAATTACAAACATTGGAGAACAACTGGGTCATTTTTAAAAATGCTAATTATACAGTAAGTCGTAAGTTTCACATAGAACGTGGGCCAAATAGGGTATTGCTAAGTTTTTGTACTTGGTGTGAGAACACATATAATCTTTTATAATGACTTCTATTTCTGCCTGATGAGATACAGGGGAAGAGTTGTAAATAGACAGGGTGTTAAGAGTTAGACAACATGGATTTAGACCATTTCTCACTTGAGTTTAGCTGTCCGTGTACTATGATCGTAATGAGCTGACGAAGTGGTACACAACTTAGCCTATTAACAACCTTAAATACTCTTCGCAATATGATGTAATCTTTTCTGTGAGTAGCCCAGGAAAGACTTAGCGGGAGCAATAAAGAATAATAGGTAAGACGTAAAAGTTAACAAATTGTAAAAGTAAAGTGTTGAGTAATTCCAGATTATCTTAACTTCTTAATGTAAAGTGGGGAGATCATGGAAGGTCAGAGGACAGAACTATAGTAAGCTATTTTATGCTTGACTTATTCTCCATATCGGTAGGCTCTAGGCCACAAACATCATGTGAAATATGTAACTACTAACTTGAGATTAGCTGTGTGTGCTGGTAGCTTACAGTGGGAAGGGGATGGTCCAGGATGCGCGTCAAGTCCTATTTAAGACTTATTCAGGAGCAGGTACATCCAAATGACGAACACCAAATGGAACGAAACGTGTGTCTTGAGTCCCACTCTTAGTTACCATTAAACAAATAACTACAAGTATAAACCAATGGCTTTTCTATTTGATGGAATTAAATTTTTAAGTCAACAGCTTAACATATCAAGGATTTTGAATGACCTTCGCAAAGATATAAATAAAACGTTCCCTAACAATAATTAAAAAGTAACTGTTGACACACGTTGAATAATGAGTACATTATTAAAATTGAATATTTTTCCCAATTAGAACAAGATGATTTTTGAGCAAATTTCTTTTTCCGGGTCTACAGTGTTATAAATCCATGAATATTAGAATGCAACTAGCCAATTGAAGCCAATTGAAAATTACATCAAAAACTATATTGGGGTACAAAACATATATATATGATTTTCATTTGCTTTTACTGGCTATTTGTGTCCCAATATTCATGGATTATTAACTTTAGAGTATTGGTCACAAGCTAACATCAGTTAGAGAACCAGTGGAACACCAGCACCGGAGTACTGGACAGCCAGCTGTTTCATCCTAGTGCTTGTGCCTCTTCGTCAGTACGCACCCACCAGCAGGATTCACAACCAGGACCTTTCGTTTACGTGTCCTAGTGGCTCAATGGTCTACGAGCTCGCCCCTCACTTTATGAACTGAAAGATAGCTCTTATAGCATGTGTTCCATGATTGGTAGTGTTATGGCTGTTCTGCTTGTCTAGCTGTAAGAAAGATGCCGGGACAATTAAACATTTAAGCTACTGTTGCAGAGGCAGAAGAATAGAGAATTGGCAAAGGAACGTTTATTTTGAATTTGGTATCTCTATATAGCAAAATTATGTACACCCCATAATAAAATCGTCATTTGTTGCACAGATCTTCCGTGTTGTCCTGGCTACTCTGCTGCCCTCCCTTCGTATTGTATTTTTGTCTTTCTTTTGTGTCTCGCATGTTTTTACGTAATATACTGGTCCATTTGCTCTCTCTTTGACGCCAAATCTATCTCTCCCCTATTGAATGTTTTTATGCCGATGAACTTATTCTTTATATATTACTAATAAACCTTATCAGTAGCACATACCCCATTATCAATTTAAAAAATGGAGACTGTTCGATCTGTCAGAAAAAAAAACATGGATCAAGGACTACTTTGAAGAAAGTATCGTATCTGCAGAGTTGATAAATGGATAGAATTCAGCTCAGTCGAAACAATACCGAAATACAACGAAAAGATGATAAAAAAGGGGAGTTTTGTTAATAAATCGATAAAAGAAGAAAAATGTCACCCATTGTTATCGCCAAGTATGAAAATTCAAGTGCAAAAAGCTCTATATGTGTATATAGTTACATGAAAAATGCCAGATAATTAAGAATTGCTCATTAAATACTGATAAGCTAGAGATGTTGCCTAACGCTGAATTATTTACATAGACATAGCTACAAAGTACCGATGTTCTCAAGATTACAGATCCGATTTACTGATTCATAATGTTATGTATGAAACTTGAGGCAAAATGTAAAACTTCTTATTTTCAAGTGTTGGTTCACAGAGAATTCATTGATTTCAATGTACAGCTGTTTCATCCTTGTTTGGGACTCTTTAGCAATACATCACTATGACTTCACAAGGGATTGAGTCTAGGCCCTTCGAGTTAAAAGGTAAGCTCGTTGACTGTTCAGTCAGTGAGATGGAATCTGGTGGGCTCATCATTAATTCCGACTTCTGACAATGTAGTACGACTACTAGCCAATGCGATCAGTGAGCATTTGTCCTCACATACCACACACACACCCTCCACGACCTGGTGGACCCAAATGGTCACAACTTCTCCATAGAATAATTTTCAAGTTTTGGTTAGCAGGGATTTTATTGATTTCAAGTACAAAATTTTCTCAAGGCGAATAAAATTCCTTTTTGTTTACCGTCAAACTAACCAATAGTAAGATGATGGGAAATAACATAGAGGATAGCTAGTACATAATAAACATGAAACTTATCGATCTCTGCCCATATTTGTAGAAAAAAAAGACCAAGTGAATAAATATGACAAAATTAACGTAATATTTATTTTCACATCCTGATAAGTGATTTTTACAAACGCGTAACGTCAGTATTTATGACATACATACACCTTATTACCGATGTCGAATGCATGCTGAGGTCATTTTAAGGATTGGGAGTAAGTACGGTTGTCAAATGTGCTAATGGACTATTCGTAGGTGAAATCTTAACACTGGATAAAAATGACTAATTCAGCATTAGCCGACTTGCTTGACCAATAGCATCAGACTGACTGACTGACTGGTTTCAATATAGAACTAGTTTACACACATGTCCACCAGTTCAACTGGACACACTCCCTCCACGTAGAACACAAGGCAACAGAAGAGACTAAACACAGATTCATTAAAGGAGAGATAATAAACACAAGTGTGAGTCAGGGAAAAAGGATACTAATATAGAAAAACAAGAGAGTTCTATTGGATGGATATGACAAATCTATCACAAAGAGTGAATGCATCTCCGCCATTATGGGTAAGATTTTATTTTGATAAATCACACAGTGTTGTACAGTAATATTAACTGGTGACGTTTCGAGCATAAACTATTGCTCATAATCATATTAACTTGATATGATTATGAGTGGCAATAGTTTGTGCTCGAAACGTCACCAGTTAATATTACTGTACAACACTGTGTGATTTATCAAAATAAAATCTTATCCACAATGGAATTATGCTCTACCGCAGTGCCCAAGTTTTATACTTATATCGAGTGAATGCATCTCCGCCATAATCGAGACCGAGGATTTTGAGTAATATTATCAATTGTTTCCAGCCGCCATTTGTTCTTAACATCTCGAGGACTATACCAGTCACGTAGTTTACCCCTCCCTACATGGCTCACACTAACTGTTGCGGATTTCATTGACTGATGAAGACATGTTTTCGTTTGACCATCACTAGCGGCTCTTTTCCAACCTGATCGATCCCTTGTCAGCCAGTCAGCTGGGATTACCCGTCGAGGAAAGCGATGGCTAGACATGCATGCGTAACACATGTCCTAACCATCAGACACACGTGGTTAACCAACAATTTATTCCACCCTACTCCACGGTGGTGAAACGTAGCAGTTGAAAGTAAATGTGAAAAGACTAGAGATTTTTAAAAATTAAAAATGTCTTCATTCAATTGCTCACATTAAGTAGGACACGATGGTAAGTGAAGATGACTTCACACGTCAGTTGTTAGATAAGAAAAGTAAGACAATCAATGAAATTGTGAATCTTCATATAGAGAAGTGACTAGGATATGCGCATTAAGCATGCTCAGACATCATCTACCTCTACAAAACAATATTGCATGAAATAGGATGAGGTTGTAAAACACTGAGGAGTAATCAAACCAAAAACACCGGACACTAATCTATGAAGTCACCGACTATTTTGACTGAGACACGCGCTACATAGTTCACTGCTGGCTGGCTGACTGGCTGCCTGATGAATATCTTCTGGAGGACAAGAAGGAATACAGGACTGGAAATAATATTAATGACGACACCAATAATAAGGAATCTAAATCATCAGTAGTAATTCCATACAAAGAAGGAACCTCGGAAGCCTTACGCAGAATTCTTAACAAGGCAGGAATAAAAGTGGCTGGCATTCAAACCCACAAACTCAATTAGAAACAAGCTTTGTCGGATAAAGAATCCTGTTGAGCCTTTAAAACAAAACAATTTAGTTTATCTAATACCCTGCCTGCAATGATTGTCAGGTCAAATACATATGTCAAACTAGTAGAACAGGGGCAGTCAGACTAGCTGAACATAAAAACTTAGCAAAATCTAGATTGGTTGACCCGAATAAAATAAGAAATCTAGAGAATAGTTCAGCTATAGCACTACATGCAGCGGTTGCCCGGCGCTCTTCACCGGGTTGACTGTCCATTGGATGACAGTCTAGGGGAGATGGCTAAACCCTGATTCCAAACCTCCAACGACTGGCGTATGAAGCTCACTGGAGCTCACCGGCAGACGTATGGACAAAGGGCTTGTTGGATGTCCTGGATGTCTGTCCCCATTCAAAAAGGCGTTTGAACCGAACTCCGGTCACCGGCTGCCAATGGATAGTGGACTCCCTACTCCACTCCTACTGCCTTGTAGGTCACACTTGGTTGTGTAAAGGCTAGAGCTGCACTCTCAAACAAAAGGCCGAGTGGTTCTGGGGACATCACTCGTACCAAATTCCCATGAAACTTCGTAAACTCTCTTCATCAGGTCGCTGCGCCTGGGTAGCGATGATTTGAGAAGTTCATGAAGCCGGTTCATCCTTCCGTAGGAGATAGCCGAAGCAAAGTAAGTAAGTATACAATAGGATGGGATAGGATGACAGTTTTAAAATCTAATGTCACAGGGTATAGGGAGAGATTGATAACAGAAGCTTTGTTTATCGAATCAACTACAAATACATGTAATAGGAATGATTCACCACCTGTCCCCGATATCTGGAAAATTCTAGTACTCCGACGACGACAAATAGGAGAGAACAAAGAAAACTATAAAACCCAAGTGTCAAAGTCGTGTCATTACACTTGATATGATTATGAACAATAAATTTTTTTCGAAACGTCATTTAGTAAATAATACTGTTTCACTGTGTGATATATCTAATAAGCAAACTAATAAGGATTGGAAATTCTTGATGACTACTGTAATGTTTAATCCAACTAGTTTCGACTAATATAAAAACCAGATGAAAACACATCTTGAGGAGAGCAAAAAAAATAAGCAACTCACATTAATGCTTTGATTCACTTGCATTATAGATGGTGATGGCAGTGATGCATGGTTCTCCTGTGATGTTGTGGATGTTTGTGAGGCTAAAACAGTCGGTGTCGCCATACCATTATTGGTAAAATGTCCTAATTTTGTAGATGAATTTACATTATCCATAGAGGGAATATTCTGTGAATTGTTAACATCAATTGTTGGCTGGTTATATTTACGCATAACTGATGTTTTCATACTACTATTATCCGGTTGAAGTAAGTGGTGATTTTGACAAGTGGTTAAAGAGTCATTTATTGAATTGTTTGATCGGATTGTTGTGGTTGTGGTTGTCAATAACGATGGTATTACATTTTGTGAGCAAGAAGAGGCTGTTTTAAAAGAAAAAGGGAGAATAATTATAAGTAAAATAATCACTTATCAAAGCAACAATCGGAAAAGCAAGACAAGCTTTCACTACTCTCAACAGCACTCAGCATCAAAAAATAAGATCTGAATTTTCAACTCCTATGTGAAGTCAGTGCTACTCACTGTACGGATCAGAGACTTGCACTGCGCGTCATAAAGAGCATCTCAAACAAACTACAGACCTTCATCAACAGCTAGCTGTCTTCGCTCAATACTCAAGATCAGATGACCGGAAAAGATTAGAAACAGAGATCTCTGGGAGCGAACCAACTCAGCAGGAACCGATTGTGAAACAAATAGACAGGAAGAAATGGAGATGGATTGGCTGGCCATACTCTGAGGAAACAATGCATCAAGTGACATCACTAGACAAGCCATTGCTCGAGTGGAACCCGAAAGGGAAGCGGCGAGTTGGTCGTCAGTGCGAAGGTGGGGTGGCTTGGAGGAGGTCATGTAAAGAGGAGATGGAAACGTGTGTGCAGACTTGGAGCGAGGTGAAGACTCTAGCAGAGAACCGAACGCAATGGAGACGCATGGGTGAAGCCCTACGTTCCTCTAGGAATTAAAGGAAACAATAATAATAATAAAATAATCACTAGTTATGCATGTGTAGTTAAGAAAATTAGAGAATTATCAAAGTACCAAGGTGGACTCCTATTCACACCTGACGACAAACAGTGTAAGTTTTTTGCTGTTCTTGTTCAGCTAGATTGTCCAACATTCTTCCTCCAGGCATAAGTTGAAGCTTTCTGTGAAAAGATCGTGTGAGAAGTTATCGGCAATCGTGGACTCAGTTTAAGAGGACAGCATCAAATAGAACAAAGCGGAGATGTGTTGTTGACGCTCTATGTTCCACTCAGAACGCAAGGGAATAATCATAAAATTTAATACTATATATAGGAGTTGTTATAGTAAGTGGGGACAAGATGATGTGTAAATATGAACTCGAAATATCTAATAACCTACACTTTATGAAGAGGTTAGCCAATAGAATTCAGTATCCTCATAATCCCCACTGAGTCATGTGAAAAAGAGATGATGTTCAGCGAAGAGACTCTTTACGGCTGCCACTAGCCACTGTCATCGGTCGTGGAGAGTGTTTGTCCTCACACCCGACCTGCTGTACGCCAATGGTCACGACTTCTCACTAGAACTCTAAGCAACTTCAAATCCCTACAAACTAACTCGTGAAAATTATTCTGATGCTCACTAGTGACCGGTTATTGGATCGAGTCGTTCCTAGTGGCGGAATGGTCTATCAGCTTGCTCGCCTTGTGACCAGAAGGTCGTGGACTCGAACCCTGACGGTCGGTTCATACTGATGAAGAGTCCCAAACTGGGGTGACGAAACAGTTGTCCAGTACTCCCTGATGATTTTCAATAGTTCCTTAACTCATATCACTTAGTGATTAAATTTGAAACGAATCAAATCCGCACAAACAAACTCATGAAAATCTTGGAAGTGTATGGGTGGTTGTTACTTCCCGGCTGCCCACACCGTGCAAGTTGCTTGATTCTTCGGGTACCTGAAACAGAAAGAGGGTTAGTGTTGTGTGACCGCAAAGCCCAGGTGACAACTGCTTGATGGTGGCCGGTCACACACGGCCTGTATGAACTGGTTTCTTGGTTTGGTTCCGTGTCAAAGTAAACTTACCGCCGGTTACGGACCACCGTAGGTGGTGTAAGTAGGGATGTACAACTTTTGGGGTTGACCTTATCTAACCCCCTCTGGGCAGAGTGGAGAGACAGCATAGCTGGCTGGCATGCTGGTCATCTGAGGGAAACACCTCACTGCTGTTACATCCCTGTTCCCCAGCAGTACGACTTCGCCCACAGACCCCCAGCATAGTATAAGAAAGATTCTTACACTACACCGGTAACTGCTTTTAGTCTAATCGCTATCCTAACAACCTTCCTGGCATGATACGACCTGCAGGAACAATAGTTCCAGCCAGTGTAGCTTGTTGGGTCATAGCGATGTGCAAGCCCAACCACCACGTCAAGGTAGTAGCTATCGGTCGGGACTCATGAAAATTGATATTTAGTGTATAAAACAAAAATTTCACTTGTATTCAAGGATAAATAAATCATAAAAACCTCCATTGATTCAAGATATCAAAATGGTTGAAACAGGATGAAAAGAGGAAGTGAAGACAAGACAAGTGAACTTCCTGTCATTATTATGTATAAATAGATTCAAGTTGTTTGCTTATTACAATGTTATCGATCTTGTACTCCTGTATGCTGTTTCGTTTCTGTCCTAAGAACTACTGAATGTATTTCTAATTGAAATATCTGCACAGTATGCTGGATATTTCATTCTATTTGTAAATAAAGCTGTGAAATCAAGCAAGATCTTTTCATCCAGTAAAGAAAACATTTTTATTCTTTTTTTCCTTCAGGGGAGAACGAAACGAGAAAACTAAACAAATCAATAAGGAAGACAGAGAGTATACAAAATTATTCGTTGTACAGAATCAATAAATCCAGATATTTGTGATTCATTTCAGGCAATGATGCTGACAATTTCTGATAAGAGATTACAAGTATCTGAAGAATTTAATTCCATTATGGGTAAATTTTATTTTGATAGAGTCTCACAGTGTTATACAGTAATATTTACTGCGACCGACCCACTGGGGGTGGCTGATGCAACTTCTCAGATAAGTGAAGTGGTCAACATATTCAGCCATCACTTCACTCCTGCCGCCTATCTTTGAGCTAAAAATGACTCCGTGTAGTCCAGTCCTGTAGCACCATCTTACACTTGACATCACGAGCGAATCGCATGCCAAACAACCAATGATTGCTATTTCCTCATGGTGTTCACAAGACTCTGCTCTATTTTGACAGCGTCTTCACCTAGGAGGAAGGACTTTATCATCTGCATATTCCAAGTCAACGAGACTGTTATTCCCTGATGGTAACAAGTCAATCCGTGAGTCGCTGAAGTTAGTCAGGGTCAAGTTCATTAGCACATCTATGATGATATTTTACAGAAATAGAGGCAGTTAGCATCGCACATTATATATGATAATCGTTGCCATCCGAACATACAGAGGAAAAGGCCGTTTCACTTAGTCAACATACAACTGCAAGTATAAGCAAATGACAACTCAGTTCTATTGATATTTTATAATCATAAAGGTAGGCTAAACTGTTCAAAAGAAATATTTTTAAAAAGAAAAACAACTTACTATAGCATTGATTTGGTATTTTTGCATTACTATCAAGGAGGCTGCCAAATTTACGTATTATATCTTGTACAGGTAGAGTGGTACGTTCAATTGAATCATTCTCCTCTTTTGATGATATTTCCGAAGGAGTTTTAACAGGATTTGCATTACAGGATTCTGTCGTCTATCAGAAGGTGTGTTTTCGGGTGGAGGGGAAGAAGAGAAGGAATAAATAAATAACTAAAAGTACATGAGGATAACTGATGCCAAATTTCCACAACAGTAAAGCAATATATAAACAGGGAGACAATTACATCAGAATAATGAGTCGAACAAGAAAGGTAATCAGTTCATTCAGGTAGTCCTAATTCACAATGTATCAGTTATTGAGACTAGAGATGAATGCAACCCTCAGTGGTTGAAGTAAAACAAAGATTTGGTCTAACAGTAAGTCATTTGTTAGACTAGCCTTAGTAGATTGCCAGAACAGTAAATTTAAGAGTAACTTGTTCGAATTATGATATGACCAACATTCACTACAAATTTCATATGTGTCACTCAATCAATCTACGGTTATCTCAGATAATTTGGCAAAGAAAAAGGTAGAAAAATGTTACAACAAAGTTAAGAAAAATAATTAACAAAAGTATTAAACAAATACGTTTTCGTCTCTGTTAAGGAATCGTTTCCTTTACCTGAAGTTTAACCCTTTGTGTGTGAGATTTCCTTCCTAACGACTGGTAAATTTTATCTATATCAATGTGCATCTTAATTGACGACTCATTGGAATACCAGGCTCCGAAAATTTCCTAGTATTCTTGGTGTTTCAGACACTTCAAACCCTAAGGAATTCATGTCACACACAAACTAACAAAATCACTTCACTCTGCTGGCTCTCTGGCAACCAAAAGACTCAACAGAGAAAGAAGATTAAAACCAACATCGTCCACAAAATAAATTGCAACGACTGCGAAGAACACTACATTGGCTAAAGCGGAAGCCCTCTTCATTCTTTCATCCACGAACACAAACTAATCGTCAAGAGACATGATGACATCCACTCCCCCATATCTCTGCAGCATGTAAACAACCATGGATATCAATTCGACTGGGACAACCAACGTTCAAATATCAAACAGAGGAAACACCAAGAATGCTAGAGAATTTTTAGAAGCCCGCCTGGTATTTCAGTGAATCATCAATCAATAGACACATCGAGATAGACAAAATTTACCAATGGATTAGCGGAAAATATCACACAAAAAAGGCTAAACTCCAGGTCGAGTAAACCATCAGTACCAATGCCAATACATGTAGCCTAGAGGTTGGGAAAACAGAGAAAACAAACCAATCACGAGGATCAAGGTTACCACCAACAGGAGAGATGACTAATAAACTCGTGAAGAAATCTAAAAGACCACTTCAACAAATTGAAGTATGTGCTGTGAAGATGTTGCCTAGTGGTGAGGCAATGAAAGCTTTGCAAATAAACCATCCAGCTCAGAGAACACAACTTCATCAAAAAAGTACAGTTCAGTTACGTTTACAATGTATATTTTTTATACCTCCTATAAAATCGCAATTACGCGTCGGTGGCACAGCGGTTAGGACGCTCGCCGACCATACACATGGTCCGGAGTTCGAGTCCCGGCCGACGAACTCCTCCCTCACATCGCTAAGCCAGTAATAAAGCTGGTAAAGAGGAAAGGTTGAGCATGATGCTAGCAAACCCATCCTGTAAAAATAAACACTACTACAGAAACTTCAAGCCGCTAGCTTGAAGCCCCATGTTCCACTGTGAACGTGAAGGAATTAATAATAATAATATAATCGTAATTAGAATATTTAAACTATTTGCTTGACTTTTTGGATACAGAATTTTGCAAAGGTTTCTTTAACCAATAGTGCACAAAAGATAAAAACAGATAACTTATAGTACATTCACTTATATAAGTAATATATATACATACCTTTATTAAATGATCTGTTCCATTACTCTCACAGAATGCATTCAATAATTTCGTATTCTCTATAACAGGTGAATCTAATTCTTGTTTAGAACAATTCGGTACACTTGTCAATCGTGTAGATGGAGCTCTTTGAGGAATTGATGGTCTTGTTGTGGATTTATTCGTTGAGAAATTTGAAGATTGTGTATAACGGCTGTTATTTGTACAACAATACGAGTTAACACTTGTATCTACTTCATGCTGAGGCTAATTTGAAAGTAGGTAAATTTTAAAAAAAATTTTTGGGATCAAAAGTAAATTATTAATTCAATAACACAAGATTTGTACTGATGAAAAGGTCGAAAAAATCTTATTGAATAATAAAAACACATGAAAATAAATCCAATTAGAGAAGGCTTTCGACAGACAACATTGAACGAGAATTAATTTGGAAAGTACTTCAACACTATGGCGTGCACAGTCCAAATCGTCTATCAACCAGATTCAACGGCTGGCTATATGACACTGCCACGTGTCAGATGACCTACAACGGAAAACACAGTGAAGCTAGAAGTAAGACAAGACTGCCGACCTACTATCCACCAATGATATTCCTAATTGTGGTGGACTGGATTATGCGTCAGACTGTGGGCAGCAAGGAGACGGGAATACACTGAACTACCGATAAGAAAACTCTAGAAGATCTGAATTTCCTGTGTAGATGATTTATGATTGATGTCAAACAAACTCAATGAGTTGCAGGTGAAAATCAATAAGTTGGCAGAGGAATCAAGCAGCGTAGAAAGGACTTCAAGTGAACATAGAAAAGACAGAGGTGATTAAGATAACCGACCAACAATAGCAACAATAAAGAACACCAATCACTATCAACGGAATAAATTTGAAAGAGGTCACTTCCTTCACTTATCTGGGAAGCATCGTTTCAATTACAACCAGTGGGCACGGACAAAATCGGAAAGGTAAGTTACATCTTCATCAATTTGAAATCAGTTTGGAAAGCTTCTAAACTCAGCGTAAGCAGTAAGATTCCGATTTTCAGCACAAATGTGAAGTCAGTCAGTCACTGCTTCTATATGGGTGAGAAAATTGGCCAGTGCGTCACGAAAAGCAATTCCAACAGGCTGTTGCAGACTTTTAACAACAGCTGCTCCCTTCGCTGACTCCAAATTGAAGATCAAATGGTCGACCTGAAAGAATTAGCAACAAAACACCAACCAAGAGCCGATTGCTTAACAAATATGTATGTTATACAGTAATATTTACAGATGACGACGTTTCAATCACAATCTATTGCCACTCATAATCATATCAGGGCCACTACTCACACAACTTTCTAACTTCGTTTATATAATTCCATCATTATTTGTCATCGCTTAACTTGATTGGTAGTCGTATTTTCCATATTTCCTGTATGAATGATGAGTCATTCCTAATGCACGTGTTGGATGTAGACTCGATGAACCAGGCAGGATTCAGTAATCAACCTCTCTCTTTCCACCTACCTATATTACTTTTTCTAAGAAGTAATACTCAAACTTTAATATCTACCATGACTGCTATCTAACCAAACTGGCTTGTTCTCTAGAAGTGAACCAAGATAGCTTCAGTTTGATTATTATTATTGTTTCCTTTAGTTCCTAGAGGAACATAGGGCTTCAGCCATGCGTCTCCATTGTGTTCGGTTCTCAGCCAACGTTCTCACCTGGTTCCACGTCTGCCCACACGTTTTCATCTCCTCTTTACATGACCTCCTCCAAGTCACCCCACCTTCGCACTGACGACCAACTCGCCGCTTCCCTTTCGGGTTCCGCTCGAGCAATGGCTTGTCTAGTGATGTCACTTGATGCATTGTTTCCTCAGAGTATGGCCAGCCAATCCATCTCCATTTCTTCCTGCCTATTTGTTGCACAATCGGTTCCTGGTTGGTTCGCTCATTGCCAGAGATCCCTCACTATTGCTGATCTTTTCTGGCCGGCCATCTGATCTTGAGCGAAGTATTGAGCGAAGACAACTGTTAATGAAGGTCTGTAGTTTGTTTGAGATGCTCCTCATGACGCGACGTCAAGTCTCTGATCCGTATAGTGAGTAGCACTGACTTCACATTGGAGTTGAAAATCTGGACCTTATTTTTCATGCTGAGTGCTGTTGACCTCCACACAGACTTGAGAGTAGTGAAAGCTTGTCTTGCTTTCTCGATGATCCTCGCTTTGATGTCCTCGTCAGTTCCGTTCGCCTGTAGTTGAAACGATGCTTCCCAGGTAGGTAGGTAGGTGAAGGAGGTTGTTTCTTTCAGGTTCCTCCCATTTATGCTGATTGTTGTCTGTTGTTGTTGGTGGTGTTGCCCAGGAATCTTCATCACCTCTTTTCTCTATGTTCACCTGAAGTCCTATCTTTGATGCTTCTTCTGCAAACTTGTTGTTTTTCGCTTGCATATCTTCCAGTTTGTTGGAAATCAGACATATATCATCGGCTAAGTCCAGATCCTCCAAGTTTTTTGTGAGTCCATATAAGCCTGTTTCCTCGTTACCCACTGTTTGTCACATTATCCAATCTACTGCAATCAGGATATTTGTTGAAATAAAACTATTATAATGAACATTTGCTAGCTGTGATGAAGATGCAAATTGTTCGGTGTGACTAAATAGCTTGTTCAATAATAGTCTCTAATATTTTTTTAAATCAGGACACAAGTATTCTTTTGCATACATCAGTATTTAATCTTTTAGCCTTGATGCTAATCCATCTATCATCTGAGTGGTATCGGTAGCCGAGCTCCAAGTGGGACATAGATCAAGTTTTTTTTTTTAACTTTCATTAGTAGTGGTGTTGTTCCTATGAAGTGGGGTTGTTAACTTCACGTCCAATCTATCTTCTTTTTCGGGCTCACTGCTGTCTAGTATACACTAAGCGAGGTTTCGCAATTTATGGCGTCGCTAACCGTCGGTCTAACTGATATCTGTAAGTAAATTTTATCTACACTTCGTAAGACAAGTTAAACTAATGAACGGAGGCTTCCGACTCATTTGATTCACAATTTATTTCGTTGATGTAGTTGTGTCCATGACTGATTATCACCTTATTTAATTTCTTTTCAACTTCTTTTGTCTCAATACATCTTATTATTATTATTATTCCGTTGGATTCCGAGTGGAACATAGGGCTTCAACAACACATCTCCAATTCCTTCTAATTTCTAATGTCCTCTTCATCTGGGTCCACGATTGCATATAATATCTCATCTCCTCCTCGCCAAACGATCTCCTCCATGTCACCCTCTCACAGAAGACCCACTCGTCGCTTCCCATTCAGATTCCACTCGAGTTATGGCCTACATTGTGCGCGATGTTATTCGACGGCCTCATCAATGTATGCCCAATCGACCCATCTCCATTTTCTCCTACATATTTAATGAGCGATCGACTCTTGGTTGGTTTGTTCCACTGCAGAGTTTCTTGTTGCTAATTCCTCCGGCCGGCTGGCCATTTCAGCTTTAATATGGAGTCAGAGAAAGGGGTAGCTGTTGATAAAAGTCTGCAACAACCTGTTGGAAATCCTTTTTCGTGACGCACTGGACAAATTTCTCACCCATATAGAAGGACCAATTTCACATTGATTAGACTATTTTAATTCCTATCTTACCTCTCCTCTAAGTACGTTTTACCCGATACGCAGATAAGAATTGTGGCAATTTGGATTGTGATACAATAATGTCAGACCTTGTGCAAATGTATATATCTTGCTACCTTAATCTTTAATTTACTAATAACAATAACAGTTTTCCGTATGCCACTAGAAGTAACACTTAATTATGATCTGATAGGAAGAAACTGGGTATCATTGAAAATGTCAACAGACATGAGAGATGTATAGATTAGAAAGCACGTGAATAGGTGGATAATAAATAACCTATAATAATAATAATAATAGTATGTCCACCATATCAGAGAAAGTAAAACAGTTAAATTATTTATATAAGCGTGTCCAATTTTAAATAGGACACATCATCTAGGTGTCTTGTTTCATAAATAGTCTCCAGACTTTCACTGACTTAAACTGCAGACATTTACAGAAAACCTTCTTCGCGGCTGAACTTCGAATAGATTTCCCTACGAAACCAATCATTGGCATGAAAATGGAAGATAAGCTACCACTGTCGGCATCATCAATTTGTGGAGTTGGGTATGTGTCAGCTGAACCCAGCGTTTGCTATTCAAACGTATCATCGAACACTTACTAGCATGGTTTTATAAAGGAGAAGAAAGATCCCCATCCGCACAGCTTTATCCTAGAACACCTGATAGAATTAGGACACTAAGCTAACATCCACAAACAAAACTTGAAAGTTATCTACAGAATACGTGAGAGTCTATCTCGCAAAAAAAGTACGAATGAAACTTCTTCAAACTTCAGAAGCAATCGCGATTCGTATATTCAATCCTGAAATCTGCATACAAAAGAAGTTGGTACGGAAAAAGGGAAGTGCTTTTGAAAAGCAAATTCAATTTATTATTTATTTCAAGATAGACTTCGTCACCAACTGACCATCTCAACAAAAGAATTATTAAAAACCGAATGGCACTTAGGCAGCTTTTTCACACTGGTTTGGAACTCGTCATCAATGCACACGTTGAATTCTAACTGTATTCCTTAAACCACTGTCACAAAACATTAGAAATATACTCTCCTACTTTATCTATTTGTCGAGTAGTGAAATTAATTTAATCCTCTAAAGATACACCTTTATATTTACATAAATTTTTATTTTATCAACGTAGAGTTTCTAACATTCTCATTGGTCGAATGAAGTTACTGTTTCAGACCAATCATATTCAAGTAATTTTTATCATACTTAAATTCCCTTCAGAGATAGGGTTTCAATGACAATAATAAGTGTAAAGTTGTTTGTGGTACCATCTGGTCAGGGAAATTCAAGCACGCTGTATTGACCTCGGCGGTATATTGTGAAGGTTACTCAACCCTTATATTTGAGACAATTATCACAATCTAATTGTATAGTTTAGTAGCACGTAAGAAATTGTAAGGCATATATGATAGGCTAATGCAGCAAACAATCTTACCTTATCGTTATTCAAGTGTTGGTTTGCAGGGGGGATTTGATTTAATTGGTTTCAGGATTTCATCATCAGCTGACATCGGTTAGAGGATCATTGGAACACCACCAGGGAGTAGTGAACAGCTGCTTTGTCCTGGTGCTTGGGACTCTTCAACAGTTCCAGTGAGAAGTT